CCAGAAGCCATCAACTGGAGATAGCTATAATTCAGCATCCTTATCACAATTTTTAAGAGTTCTCCTCAATGGGGGGCTGGTGAGATGGCTCAGCGGTTAAGAGCACTGACTGCTCTTCTAGAGGTCATGAGTTCAAATCCCAGCAACCACATGGTGGCTCACAACCATCTACAATGAGATCTGGTGCCCTCATATGGGTGTCTAAAGACAGCTACAGTGTACTTACATATAATAAATAAATAAATTAAAAAAAAAGGTTTAAAAAAAAAAAGAGTTCTCCTCAATGGCTTTCTGTCTAAGCTGTTACTTTTGGGGAGTGAGGTATTGTCACAGAAGCCTTCTATGTCTCTCATTCTCAACTATGAATCAGCATATCAATATTATCACCAAAGTCACTTCTTTGCTCTTTACAGTCCATGGGAGCATGGATCAGGAACTTCCATATGGTTTCTAGTGGTAGAACAGACATGAACATCCACAGATCTGGTGTCAGCAAATGTCATGAACTTCAGGATGGTCTCTGATAAGAGTACAGGTCATGGCCATCAAATGGCCCTCTGCCACAACACAGGCCGAACACCATCATATATCTCAATGGCTGCTACACACATGCCTTTGGGGCAACATGGATGACAGACACCAGTATGATCCCTGTGGAACCCAGCCCACGAGCATCAACACAGCTTCAAGTAGCAGTACAGACCACAGATATATACCTGGCCTTCAGTGGAAACATGGGCCTCCTCCTCAACATGGTTCCTGGTCATAATAAGACCATGGACCCCAACATGGACCATAGACATCAACATGTCCTCAGTTTTTTAATGCAACACACACACACACATACACACACACACACCACACACACACACACACACACACACACACACACATGTTTGAAGAGGTAAAGATAGTAACTAACTTAATTTGACCATTACACATTGTATTTATGTTTTGAATTTTCATGCTGAACCCCATTAATGCTTACGATGATTGAGTATGAATTTAAAATGTGAGAGGCTTCATCTAGCAGCACATAGAAGCAAATGCAGAGACCCACAACCAAATACCAGATAGAGCTGAAGGGTTCTTGTGGAAGAGTGGTGGGATAGGATAGAGGGAGTCGAGAACAATACAAAAAGACTCTACAGAGTCAACTAACCTGTGCCCATGGGGCCTCAAAGAGACTGAACCACTAACCAAAGTACATACATAGGCTGGACGTAGGCCCCCTTACACATTTGTAGCCAATGTACAATTTGTTTTTCATGTGAGTCCTCAAACAATTGGAGCAGGGATCTGTCTATGACTATGTTGCTTGGCATGGGATCCTCTTCCCCTAGCTGGACTGCCTGAATGGGCTTCAGTGGGAGAGGATGTGCTTTGTCCTGCTACAACTTGATGTCCCAGGCCAGAATGGCACCCAAGGAGATATCTCCTTCTTTGAGGAGAAGGAGAGGGGATATCAGGGGAGGAATTTACAAGAGTGGCACTGGGAAAAGAAGAGGGGAGCCTGCAATAGGGATGTAAAGTGAATAAATAAATTAATCAATGAAAAATGTGAAATAGCTCAAAGACAAAAGAAGGAAGTACAATGGAAGAATAAAGAATGTGGTAAAAACAATTCACAAAATAAAGACAAATGGTCATAGAATATAAAACGATGTTCAATTTCACACAATGACTTCCAAATCAAAAGGAGAGGTTCACCTCACCAAGTTACAAAACAATCCTTTTAAACATATTAAATGCTGGTCATGGTAAGAGAAGTGGCATACTCCTAAACTGGTAAGAGTATACCAACCCCCCACTCATCTTCTGTCTGTTTCAGTTTCAGTTTGGCTCATTTCCTTTCTTCTCCTTGGAATCCCTTTGATTGATACATAAGATCTAACAATTTGTATGAACAACTGCTTGAGAGGAACAGATGTGAGAACTTAGATAAGTTCTTGAAATGGAAACAAACAAAAAGTTATAATTTAAGGACAGTTTCCTGTCATGTTACAGATAAAATTGAGATAGCAAATTATAATAAGTTTATACATTTTGAGGGCAAAACGTAGCCTAAACTCACAAAACAATGGTTTCAGCTTTAATACCTAAAACAATTGTTCATAAATTATCACAAACCAAAATCTTCACAACCAAAATATATTTCATCCTTTTTAAAAAAAAAGTCTTCGGCACGGGCCTTAAACTGGAGAAATTAAGCCCTGAAGAGGATATCATCTGAACTAGAAGCTAATGCAAAAAAGGACCAAGGGAATATTAGATTTCCCCTTAAATCTGAAGCAGAAACTTAGCTGCATTATGAAGAATACTAAACAGTATGTAATCCAACAAGCAGAATATTTAATGAATATATCTTAAAAACATTGTCTTACTTCCATTTAGCCAATTTAACCCTGAAAATAAAGAGTCCTGAGGATATATTTAGTTTCCCTGAAATAGTGAAAACACATAATTCTACATTGATAATACTACCATTATAATATGTGAGAACTCAATATAACTATTTGCTTGGGCAGTTGGGTATTTCAATATAAAATATAATTTCGAAGCTTTTAAGCAACTGAGAAAAGGAAATGTAATTTTTTTTAACAAGGGAAGCGAGCGTGAACCAGGTTTATAAAAACAAGCTAAAACAAACAAACAGGGAGATGGCTCACCAGGTAAAAATAATTTGCTATGAAAGCCCGATAACCTGAGTTCAATCCCCAGAAGCAGCAGAGGAAGGAGACAGCACCTGACTTCAGAGTTGCCCCCTGATCTTCATGTACTCAGAGTTGGATATCTTACACACACACACACACACACACACACTGGGGGAAGGGAGCTGGAGTCAGCGAGAGAGAGACAGAGAGAGACTCTCACACACAACTAACAATAAAAATGTTACATATTGTTACTTTATAATTTCATATATAAAACCAATCAATCAAAAAAGAATGTTTTCTTGAGACAGGGTTTCTCTGTATAGCCCTGGCTGTCCTGGAACTCACTCTGTAGACCAGGCTGGCCTCGAACTCAGAATCTGCCTGTCTCTGCCTCCCAAGTGCTGGGATTAAAGGCGTGTGCCACCAACGCCCAGCCGAATGTTTTCTTAAAAAAATAAATAAATGGTGAATTAACATATCCCACTGCTTTCCAGAGTGGTTTAATACTTTAAGAACACAAAGAAATTGCTGTCATGCACTCAAAATATCTGGTTCATTTCTCTGTCTCTCTCTTTTAGGGAAACAAAGTGTTGATTTCCATTTACAGATTAACAACTCATCATTGACAGAGAGAAGGAACTCAGGGCCCGACTGACGACTGAACAATGAGTTTCAAGGATCTATCTCTCCCAACACCTGCCATGAGTGTTGGTTACAAGTTAGAACTAATGTACCTGGATTTTACATGGGTACTGGGGAACTGTACTCAAGTCCCCATGGTTTTAAAAGCAGCCATTTTATACTAAATGACTCATGTTTGCTCATCCCGTATTTCCCTTAAGAAGTAATTTTATAGTAATTATTCTCTGATGGATATCATTTTCTTTTTTGCTGCATGCTGCCTTTGATTGAAAACTCTGGAGTACTTGTGTGTGTGTGTGTGTGTGTGTGTGTATG